ACCGTTTTGTAGTACTCGTGGAGCTCTATCATATCTGATTTAGTTGGTTCATCGGAAGTCGCTAGAAATCGGAGCCGTCAAACCACTCGATTTTTCACCCATCGTGTATTCAAGACTGGTTAACTGCACTGGTCTGTGGCACGAACATTATTTCCGTTGAGCTGCTATGCCCAAATAATGCGTGTATGCATTTGACCACTTTTGCAATGAGCTATACTGTGGACGGGTGGGTTGATAGATATTAGGTTGGTCGAAAAGTAATGCGCGTTTTTGATGTACTTTATTTTTATTGAAAAAAACAAAACAAGACAAAATTAATTGAAGGGATACTTTCAATCACTAATGATTTTCAGCTTACTGGCAACGCATGTGCAAAGATTCGATGCCTCTGTTGTAGAACTCCACTGGCTGTGACTCGAAGTAGTTCGGAACCCAAATTTTCACTTTTTCGTTATTCTTGAACTTTTTCTCAGCGAGATGATGCGGCATTGGTTGGATCAAGTGATAGTCTGATAGTGCCAAATCTCGGCTGTAAGGCGGATAAAAATCTTTTCTCAGCGCGTCTCCGAACATTTTTTGGTGGTTTTTGCGATGTGTGGTCTAGTTTTGTCGTGGACCAGAAACTTTGCGGATGTGCCCACTCCTTGCCGTTGGAACACCAGGTACACGTGGTTCAGCTGACCTTTGTCAGGATCAGTAGTCACTATTTGACCATTCTTCAGAAACTCAAAATACACCAGACCTCGCGTATTTCACCAGACATAGAGCAGAGTGCATGCTCGATTTCTTGTTGCTTTCGGTGCCTCTTCATGATTCAGCCACTGCCGTTTTTTTCCAGTGCAGTCATACTGAGTCCCCCTCTTATCCGACATTAAAAATTGATACAAAAAATCCATAATTGTTGTGCGACGCAAGAGGCAACTGTCCCTTTAGATGCGCCTTATCAGAAAGTTCGTGTAACACTCTTTTTCCGCATCTATTCGTTTCTCCATAATTGCGATCAGGGTGTAATTGCACTGTTCTCATAAGCAGCTAGTGGTTTGGCACGAGCCCCGTTCGCTTGCTGGTCTCAAGACATCGTTGACAACGGTTTTTAGAGAAAACTGCGTATTTTGCTTTCCAAGGTCATTCCGACCTTATTGGAACGTTGGAATCAGCGTTGATATTGATTTTCGGATAGAGCTCCTTCTCAAAATACAGAAGCAATAATGCGGTGAGCTTCGGCGGCAGTCTATCTGTTTGTGAATTCATGCTAAAATAAGGGTCGGAAGCGAAAACTTTGATTGAACAACTTTTTGAATGTTTTTCTAATTTAAAAATGAATTCAAACAGTAAAGTCATAATCAAGAACAAAGCTAATGACATGCTCTTTCAAACGAAAGAAAAATTAAGCCGAAGCCCTGGTTCACAGGCGATTTATGAAACATTAAACATAGCGCTCTGAAAGAAATTATGGCAGGGCCCGCGAAGGCCCGGCAAAGGCCCGAATTACAAGTATGAAGCTAGCGGTATAACTGGGTCTGGAGGTATAACCGGAGCTAGAAGTAGAACTGAAGCATAACTGGAGCTGGAGGAATAACGGGAGTGACTAGCACTTTTCTCTGGCAACGTGGATTCGATTAGCCAAAGAAGTATGTCGTCTGAAAGCTTTCTTACCTGTTTTTAGCACTTTTTGAATGACTTCCACCTTTATGTTCGGCACAGAAATTGAAAAAAAGGCTTTTGAGTTCATAAATTGACAGTTGAGGGCACAAACTCTGTGCAGTATGTATTAACGCTGTACCAACATATGTTGTTGATTTAATGATATCCGATGATTTTGATACTTTCAATGCTTCAAAAATCTTCAAAATTGTCGCTTCAAAATGCTCATGACACATCAATTGAGGCGGTTTTTCTTTTAAAATCGCACGGGCGACTCGAAGTGATAAGCCATTTAAAACCCATCCAATTACAATCACCAGTAGCTCTCTTCTATTTTCGATTGCTTGAAAATCTTCGAGTTTTGAGACTTTTCCACATTCGAAACATTTGAAACCGATGAGTCTGGAACATTTTGGGGTTGTTCTTTCAATTTTCAAATTTTCGATTTTTTGAATTTTTGAATTTCTGAATTCCCGAGTTTCTGAAGTTTGAATTTCTAAATTTCTAAATTTTTTTTAATTTGCTAATTTTTTTCTGAGAAATTCTAAAAAATCTCTAAAAATTCGAAAATTTCAGAAATTTGAGATTTTCGAGATATACGAATTTCCAGAATCTCTCCAAAATATTTTTTTTTTGAAAAATTCAAAATTTGAATTATTGAAACATCGAAATGGTTAGAACTATTTGAAAAATTCAAAATTCCAGAATTTTTTTTCAAAAAAAAATTTGAGAAAATTTAAGATTTTCTGAGTTTTCGAAAAATCCAAAATCCCAGAAATCTTCAGATTTTCATAAATTAGGGATTTTTTTAATAAAGAGTCTGAATTTTTCAGAATTTCCAGATTTTTCTGTTGAAAAGTTCAAATTTTGATAATTCTGAAAATTTTCAGATGGATTTTACAATTTTAAAATTACAAAATTTCAGCATTTTTGAATTTTGAAAAAAAAAAGAAAATTTCAGGAAACTTTTTGAAAATTATAGTTTCTAGAATTTTTGAAAAAATCCCATTTTTCTGAAATTTCAAAAAATGGAATTTTTGAATTTTTCATAAACAAAATTCAATTCTTAGGATTTTTTCGAAAAATTCAAATTTTTAAAAAATTGGATATTTTTTAAACTTCAGAATTTTTTTTCAAAAAATTTGCAAAATTCGAATTTTTCAAAAAAAAAAATCCGAATTTTCAAAATTAAAAAAAAACCAAAATTGTGCAATATTGAAAAATGTAAATTTCCAGAATATTCGAAAAAGTTCAGTTTTTTATAATTTTTGAAAAAAGAAACCAAAAATTCAGAATTTTTGAAGATTCTAGAATTTCGAAATCCCGATTTTAGAATTAAATTTTTTTCATTTTTTCTCAATTTTTTCAAATCAAAATCTTTTAAAACCTATTATTTTCCTCCACTGGCTTCTCCTCTTCGCCTGAAATCCCGAATTTTTGAAAATTCGAAGATTCTGAAGACGTCGGTTGATTCCATTCATCTTGTTCCATGTTTGAAATTCTAAAAAAAATAAAAGTGCCTAAAATTCAAAAAAAAAAACAAAGAGAATAGGAGAATCAATAGACATATATTCCTCACGGGTGTGCTGCAAATGCGCTCTCTTGGACACTAGAGAGGGGGAAAAGAAATAAGATGTTGTCTGGCCCATTTTTAAGCCAAATTATTCTATTTTTTAGGGTTTTATAGGAAAAAAAGCTCAATTTGAACAAAAAATCATCACAAAGAAAGAAAATAGTAGGAAAAAGGCACAAAATTGAAAAAAAAACACCAGAAACCTAGACGAAAAACGAATTTTTAAAAAAATGGGGAGGAAAAGTGAAAAGGGGATCAATATTTAAAAAAATGCCTAATATTATAACAAAAAAAAACAATTTTAAGAATTTTGAAAAAATTGAAAAAAGGAGAACATTTTATTTAGTAAGAGTCCTGATCCTTGAATCCGAACGTTTGTTTTTCGACTAATTTTCGGAAAATGCCATCTGGAATCTGGATTAGCTCCTCATAACTTCCACATTCGGCGACGCTTCCCTTATCGACGACCACGATTTGATCAGCGTGTTTGATTGTGGACAGTCTGGAATTTGATTGAAAATTTAAATATTTTGAAATTGGCCCCCATTTTAGATTAAGCCTATAAGTCTATGATTTCAAACAAAAAACCGAAAACTCTGGAAAATTCTGAATTTTCGAAAAAACTCAAATTTTCTAAATTTTTAAAAAATTGAATTTTTCGGTATTTTCGATTGAACCTTCTGAATTTTCTAAATTTTGATTTCCCGGATTTTTTCTAGTATTTAATTAAATTTTTGAAAATATTTTTCGAAAAATCAAAATTTTCTGAATTTTCGAAAAAAAAACTCAAATTTTTTTAAATTTTTGAAAAAATTGAACTTGTTGGATTTTCTGAAAATTCGAGAATCCGATTTTTGGGAATTTCGAAGAATATTAGTTTTCTGAATTATCGAAAAATGCTTCAAAATTCAAAGTTTGACATTCTAGACTACCGAATTCGTCAACTAAAGTTTCAGTCGATTTCCAGATTCCTCCTTTTATTCAATTTTTCGGAATTCCAGGACATGAAAAATTTTCTAATAATAATATATTTATTTGCAATGCATGGGGGAAATCGATAAATAATTCTAGGCCACCAAAATCCTTACCGATGAGCAATAATCATAACAGTCTGTTTACTATTGGCCAGCAATTTGTTGAGCGCAATTCTGACAAGGTATTCTGAAGAGGCATCCAACGCCGACGTCGCCTCGTCCATAATCAGAATGTTGGGCTTCTGAAAATTCATGAGATTGCTCATTTAATCCAATATACCGTATCCCTACATTAACAAGAGCTCTTGCAATGGCGATTCTCTGTTTCTGTCCTCCACTTAACGTCGATCCATGCTCTCCAACCTTCGTATCGTATTTCTGAGGGAATCTCATGATAAACTCATCCGCGTTGGATTGCTCAGCAGCTGAGACGATCTGAAAATTTGGTTTTTGTCAAATTTGGACTCAGAAATTCAAATTTGAAGTCTATAAAATCCTAGAAAACCCACCTGAATACTATCAGGTCGTTTCTAGGCCAGTTGGAGGCCTAGAAAAATCAGCTTGCAAAAGTTAGGCCACCATGGTAAAATCGCTTAGAAAACCAACCATGACAAAATGAGGTTATTTCTAGGTGATTTAACATGATGGCCTAGAAACATCAACTTGGAAAAGTTAGGCCACCATTTCAAAACGGCCTAGAAAACGCACCAGGTCAATATTCCTAGGCCATTTAGGCTGGTGGCCGAGAAAAAATCGAATAGGAAAAATTAGGCCAGCATGTGAAAATTAACTAGAAAACCCACCAGGTGAATATCAAACCATTTTAAGGCAATTTAGCATGGTGGCCTAGGAAAATCATTTTGCAAACGTTAGGTCACCACTTTAGAATGTCATGGAAAACCTTCCTAGTGAATATTACGTTATTTCTAGGTCGATTACGTGACCGTGGTGACCTAGGAAAATTGAATTTTCAAAAGTTAGGCCACCATTGTATAGTGACCTAGAAAACCCATCAGGCGAACGTTACGCCATTTCTAGGCCACTCAGCATGGTGGCCTAAAAATTTGATTGCAAAAGTTAGGCCACCATTTCAAAACGGCCTAGAAAACGCACCAGGTAAATATCAGATCATTTCTAGGCCATTTAGGCTGGTGGCCGAGAAAAATCGAATAGGAAAAATCAGGCCAGCATGTGAAAATCAACTAAAATACCAACCAGGTGAAGAACCAAGCTATTTCTAGGCCATTTAGCATTTTGGCCTAGAAAACTTGACTTGCAAAAGTTAGACCACTATGTTAAAACCGCTTGGAAAATCCACCTAGTGACTATCATGTTATTTCGAGGCTATTTAGCATGGTGGCCAAGAAAAATCGTTAAAAGTTAGGCCACCCTGAATATCAGGCCATTTAACTTCAATTTCTAAATTTCTTTTAAAAAAAACTCACATCAGCTTCAGAAACCTTCTCCGGCTCCGTACTTCCATAGATGATATTATCCCTGATTGTAGTAGAAAACAGTACAGGTTCCTGTCCCACCGTTCCAATATGTCTCCTCCAATACGATGGATCCAAATCTTTCAGATCCACGCCATCAACCAGAATTCTTCCATTCGTTGGGTCATAAAGCCTCAATAAAAGAGAAGCAATCGTTGATTTTCCAGATCCAGAACTTCCAACAACTGCTGTAATTTTTCCAGCTGGAACATCAAAAGAGATATTATGGAAAAGAGGGTCTCGATCTGCGTAGCCGAATGCGACATGCTCGAATCGAATCGCTTCCTGGACGTTTCCTTTTTGAATTCCTCCCTCCAATGGAATCTTTGGTTCTCGATCTTTGAGTTCGAAGAGCCGCGAACTGGCTCCGAGACCTTTCATGAGTTCCAAATAGAATCCAGACATTGCTGACAGACTTCCAGCTGATAGAACTGCGTAGAGACAGAACGATGAGAGCTCTCCTGAAATCAGAAATTGTAAATTAAGAACTACCGGAAATTCAAAAAATCCAAAAAAAAACGACATTTTTCGAAATTTCCAAAAATTTGAACTCATAGGATTTTTCGAAATTTCGCAATTCTAAAATTCACAGAAATTCAAAATTTCCATTTTGGGAGGAGAATTTCGCTGTTTTCAGCCAGATGAGCTTCCAATAGTTGGAAAATTTATCTGAAAAATTTTCAGAATCTTCAAAATTTGAATTATTTGACTGTTTTAGGACCTTTTTGAATCATTTCAGGCAGCCCTTTGATCATTTTTAACTATTTCAAATCATTTTTGGACAATTCTGGATGCAATTATGTCTGTTTCGGACATTTTTCAAAAACTATTTTAGACAATTTTTCGACAATTTTCGACCATTCTTCGACGTTTTTGATCATTTTTGGATGATTTTCAGACCATGTCGGACCGTTGTGGACTATTTAAGCCATTTAAGGAACATTTTTGGTTTTCACATTTTCTAGAATTTCAAGTTTTTCACTGAAAAAAAGCTCACCGTATGTCAAAAGTCCCTGACTGATCAGATTACTTCCGTAGAACAGAATCGATGATAGAGCGAGATATCCAGTGAATTGGAACTGCAAAGTTTCAGTTATTTTATCCATTTTAAAGGGGGAACCTGGCCAAAAGTTAAATTTTTCATATAGCTTTAAAATGTGTAGAAAACTGTGTAGATTCATATAGAAACAAAGAAAAAATTACAAAAAAATCGGAAAACCGAAAAATCGCTTCAAAAAGGAAGAAAAACGTGATTTTTCGAGAGAAAAAATATTGTTTTTTCTTCAATTTTTTGTCAAAATTTTTAGACTTTTTTGGTTTTTCAGCTATTTGTGAAGATTCTTTTTCGATTTTTCCGAGATCTGAAAATCGACGGGGCGCTGTGCAGATTACTGTAGATTACTGTAAAAAATCTTGTAGTTTGTAGTCTTGATTTTTGCAAACGCCATCACGTCAAAATGCAGAAAAAAAGTTGCAAAAATCAAAGCTACAAACTACGAGAAAATTCGTTTTCTACAGTAATCTACAGTAATCTTCAAAAATAATTTCGGACAAGAAATTCGGAAAAATCGAAAAGAACCATCAAAAATAGCTGAAAAACCTAAAAAGGTCTAAAAATTTCGACAAAAAATCGGGGTAAAAACTAATTTTTCCCTCGAAAAATCACTTATTTTTTCCGAGTTTTCAGTTTGGAATTCAAAAAAATTCTTTCGATTTTATGTGGTTTTTCGAGATTTTGCAATTTTTTTTTGAATATTTTATGCTCTGCTAAATGAATCTATGTATTTTTCTACTCATTTCAAAGCAATAAATTTTTGGCTTACCGATCCAAACATGCATCCCTTCGCCAGTCCCTCCATCTTGGAAATCAACCAAATCTCGTTAATCTTATCAGAATACGCAGCCAATTCCTTCTTCTCAGCTACCAACATTCGAACAGTTCTCACAGAAGACAGTCTCTCTGTGGCTACTTGATTCGCTCCGGCGACTGCTTCCTGCATCATCAACGTGTATTTTCTTTGGAGTTTTCCGAAGACTGCAAATGTTCCGACGATCACCGGCACAACCACGACGATCACTTTGCACATGGCAAGAGATGTGTACACCTGCAAATTGTCCAATACGAGTTAGATCCATACTTGTGGAAAAGAAGGCCGGCCCGCGGGCCGGAGCGGGCCATGGCCGGGGGGAGATTTTTCTGAAAGCGGGTCGGCCGGAAAAATTAGCACATGGCCGGCCCGCTCTTTGAAAATTTTGAAATTTTAGAGCGAATCATCATTTTTTCAGGATAAATGAAAATATACACTAGAGGCTGCTTCTGTCGACAAAAACTGTTTTGAGGTAGTAATTAGAAAGAAAGTTTCATCAAATATTTTGGCACATTTGAGAAGTAAAATTTTAGATAAGTTATTCTGGGCGGGCCGAGAATTTTTTTCCCGGCCATCCACATTTATGGTTAAATTTGGGGTGTTTCCGGATAGAAATCGCCAAAATCGGCCAATTCTTGAAGTTAAACTTGTTTGTTTCAGCTCAAAAATCAAATTCTAGGGTTGTGTACGGTGAAATTTGTATTGCATTATCTTGTACAGGAAAACATGTAGATTCACATGAAAATACAGAAAAAAAACTTTCGAAATAATTTTTCTTGATTTTCAGTAGTTTTTTTCAGATTTTTTCCATTTTTCTTTCTGGAAAAATCTGGAAAACCCTGAAAGAAAAAATCAAAAAACATTAAAGCAGTTGAATTTTTCAAATTTTTTATTCATTTTTATGTGAATCTACATTTTTTTCTGCACCGTACACCACCTTTAATCTTATTTCGAATCTGAAATTTTACTCCAAAAACTCTAGAAATTCGAGAAAATCGGAATTTTTGACATAAAAACGATCATTTTTCAAGCATGGAATTGATGGAAAATGTAGCTAAAGTTGGAATTTTTCAAGCCACGCCCACTTTTGAGAAATTTTAGATAATTCCTTCCTGTGAAACTTTGATTTCAAGAAAAGAAATTGGAAAATTTTAGACTCAAAAATCGGCGATTTTTGGGTTAAAAATAAGACTAAAACATCGCATTTCACCCCAAAACATCTTCAAATTCTCACCATCAATCCTCCAGAACCCAGACAGGTGAGCAGTGCTCTAGCTCCATCACTCAAATTCATCGAAACCGAATAACCAACGATCAGAGCGTCTGTGGACAGTCTAGAAACGATTTCTCCCACTTTATTCTTGTCGAAAAACGCCATGTCTTGACGTAGAACCGAGTTGAATACGGTCTTGCGGAGGTCGTTGATCACTAGTTGACCTGGAAACTTTGGTGATTTTTGAAGTGGAAATGACCCAGAAAATTGATTTTAGCATTATTTTCAAAATTTTTAGGTGTAAAATGTCTTATTTTTGAATTTTCTGTTTTTTCAAAACCCCTAAACACTTTTAAAAGAAAATTGCCACAGGAGAGAGTCGAACCTGTGAGCTCTAGATCCAAGTTTTCAGCTAAAAATTCCACTAGGCCATTTGAGCAATTTTTGGAAAATTGAACTTTTTTGGTTGAATTATAGGTTTTCAGAGGTCCTGGATGTGTTTTTCAGTACAAAAATATCCATTTTCGACTGTTTTTAGTGGTTTTTAGTCAAGTTTTAGGTCCGTTTTTGTTTATTTTTGGTTCAAATTTTCAAATTTCTCTTTGGAAAACTCGAAAAACGAGTTTTTTGAAGGGAAAATAACCACTGGGTCGAATATCAAAGTTTCGAGTATTTTTTATCTGGCATTTAGGAGCAAAAAGGGATACAAATCAAGTTTTTTGAAGGGAAAATGGCCCAAAAAAGAGATTTTAGGTATGATTTTCGGACTTATCAGGCGTAAAATGTGCCTTATTTCTGACTTTTCGGGTCGAAAATTAGAATTGTGAGTCTATTTTCCAGGTTTTTAGATGCAAAAAAGAATTTAAAATGAATTTTCCAAGGGAAAATCATTCAAAAAGAGTAATTTTAAGAGCGATTTTCAGAGTTTTTGGTAGTAAAATGCCATACTTTTGGCTCCAAAAATAACTTTTTGATAACTTTTTTCTGGTTTACACAAAAAATCCCTGACCTGCTGTATGCATGCAATAAATTCGCGCAGCAATCGCGAGAGCGCCCAACATGAGCACTCCAACCAACGCCACGGGGTTCTCCTTAAAATATCTGGCCAAAAGCAAAGATTTATCAGTCTGATCCATTTTATCCTGTTTCGTCTCGTCCCATTCGTCAATCAGCTTTCCCAACACACGAGGAGTTAGGAGGAAAATCGTGCTGCTCACTCCGAGAAACGAAATTCCCACTGAAAAAGTTCAATTTTTTCAAAAATCCTTCAAAAACCCTAAAATTACACAAAATTCTCCATTTATAAGGTCCTGCAAGCGATAAAATTGCTTTTAAATCTTTCCAACTCGCATTTTTCAGCTTATATGACTCTCGTTTCGTCTCCACTATGCTGACCTGGAAAACTAACTTTAAATTCGAAATTTTGCGTTAAATTTTACATTTCTGAATGCTTGTTTCGATTTTATCAATGTACTTCTCAAAAAGCCGCCACCCGTTCTGCCAATCTGTGGTGCATAACAGAATAGCCTGAAAATTCTAAATGTTCTCTAAAATCAAAAACATCCAGTACCTCGTTGAGCTGGAAGGTATTGAGGAGCATCTGGAGCAGCATAAACGACTTATATGTGATAGAAGAGACATGTGGAGTACTGGAAATCTGTTTATTTTAATTTTTCAAAAATCCCATGATGCAATAAGGTCCAAAAATCGTTAAAAATGGCGAAAATTCCAGTGGAAAAACACAAAAATAGGAAGAAAAATGATTATTCCTTATTATTTCATTAAAATTCAGTAAAAAATGTCAGGAAAATCTGAAAAAATCGAGGAAAATACAGGAAAATTGAGTGAAAATGCGCGAAAAATCGGGAAACGCGCCAATGAGATGGCTGGCGCGTTTGCCGATCTCGTTAGCACATTATGGGTTTTTGGAGGGAGTTTTGAATTTAAAGGGTTTTTAACAAAAACTTTATTAAAAAGGAAAAATCAACATCAATTTAACATATTCAACAGATTCATACATCTAGCCTCTAATTCGGAGCTACCAACAACCATCATACATGAAAATATCACTGGAATCGCGTTGATTTGCTTCAGATATCTTCTTACAATTGGATTTTTAAAAGCCATCGTTTCCAGAATCTCCAAAACTATAATATTTCCTTTTTGGAGGAGTCTGACTAGTCGAAGAGTAAATTTTAACGAGAATGCGTGTCTTTTTTCACTCATTTTAGGCATAAACATGGCTAAAATTCTCAAAATTGGCTGTGGAGAGAGATTTTCTTCTTTAGTGTCGCTTAGATATGTTGTAGTCTTTTTAAAGACATTATCAGCATCGATTTTTAAATATTTATGGTTTAGAACGTCTTCCAATACTTCCCAATAACCATTTTGGCCGGTTTCTGGAGTGTATTCCAGTAGTAACCAAGCCAAATGTCGAATTTGACTCTTGCTCAATAGAGCGCATTTTCTGCAAACTCAAGTTCAAATCAAATCATTAAAGGCTCTAAAACCAACCCTTCAAATTCAATTAAACACTTTACTCCAAACTTCTTGACATCGTTAAATCGTCCAAATCGTTTTAAAGCTTCTAGAATCTTCTGGAAACATTCTGGAATATTTTCCACATCTACTTCTTTCAACATTTCTCTGAGATAGTGTAAACACCAACAAATTCCAATTCTGTTCTTGGATTCAAAGTAATAATTCAGAGTTTTTATCTGGTTTTCGAAAGTTCCAGAATTGAAAATTTGCAGTCTAGAATCCGAAATCGTGGAGGTTCCAATCGAAGTTTCTGAAATTTTAAACATGATTTTTGAAGGGGCGTGGCTTGAACTACCCATCGCAATAACGATTTTAAGATTTCCATGCGTCAATTCCAGACTTTGAAGAAAAAATCTATCCAAATCGGTTCCAGAACAATCCAAAACTTCCAGAGAATTCAAATTTTTTCGACATTCCAAATATTTCTCGACAATTTTACGATCTGGGTTTCTTCTGAAAATTTTTTATTGGCCAGCAAAAAAGAAAAAAGGAAGATTTCCCCAACGCGGACTCGAGCCCACGACCTCCGCCCCCGCGGCCGCCTGCTGAGCGCGCGCTTTACCACTTGACCACCAAGGCACAAACAGTTACAAGAGGGGGAAGGCGTAGAGAAAAGGGAGTGTTTTGGCGCGGCGATGGGGAAGGGTATCCATGGAGAAGGAGCAATTTTGAGCTTACCTGGATGCAGATAAATCTAGAAATTTGAGATTTTCAAGCTGAAAAATTTCTTCTAAATCTACAGATCTCTCAAAATCCAAATCTTTCAAAGAGAGCCATTCCAAATTCTTCATTCCTTGAATTCCATCAAGATTCTGAAGGTTGGTACCACCCAAATCCAAATGGACCAAATTTGGAAAATTCTTGAATAATAAACTTCCAGAATTTCCAAAAAGTTGTCTTCCAGAAATCGAAAGTTCCAGAAGCAATGGGAACATTCTGGATAGATTTTGAATCCATCCATTGGAAAATTGCTTGGTCCCTTTGATATTCAATTTCAGAAGAATTTTTTGACATTCTGGATTTAACGAGGATTCTAGGAACCTGATGACGTCGAAGGTTTCTGAAAAAAAAAATTTTTTTAAATTAAATTTTTTACAAATTCTCGAATTACCATTTTCTCCATCCTCCCCATTCTGCAAAGCTCCCAAATCCAAAAATCTCAAAATTTTCTGATTTCGAAGGAATTTTAGACCTGTTTCATCTAATTCAAAATCTTCAAAATCCAGATTGCTCAGCATAAAATTTCTATCCATCAAATGTCGAAAAATCTCATCTTTCCATTCTTTTCCACTTTTTAAAATCTCCGAAACGACCTTATCGCAGTGATAAGGGATCAATTGATAGTCCAAAGAATCATAGGTCCCTGGAAATTTAGTTATGAGCAATTAGGAAATTTCACTTAAAGGTGGTGTACGGTGAAATTTTTTATTGCATCAAAATGTGCAGAAATGCATGTAGATTGACATAAAAATAAAGAAAAAATTCAAAAAAAAACTCCTTCATCGAGAAAAACGCATCCAAAAATACGCTGAAAGCCCTTAGGGACGAGGTTTTTTGTAGGCCGCCCGGTGAGTAAAAGCGCGCGAATTCAAACTTTTAAAATTT